TTTTGTAGTGATGATGGCAGCAAATAACAGATGCACAGCCAATTGCAGTGGTCATGCCACACCAACAAGCTTTCATGTCCAATTCTTGGGACTAGTAAAAATCCTTAGGACAAGGTGACATGGGTATCACTCTAGCAACTGTAGTACCAGGCTAATTGTCGGCCAATTATCTGGTTTTGCATCAGTGCACCCTTCCATGAATTTAAGAACTACTTCGACTGTTTCTGCATCTGAAATGATATATCTTTTGTCCAAAATGGCTTTTGGTCAATTCTTTCTAGTAAAGTGTTCATCCAACTTACCACACTTCATAAATGTTAAGTCAATACTTCCCTTTCCAATTACAAGCTCAAGAAGGAGAACTACAGAGCTATATGCATTCCAATTACTCAGTGGCTGCCCCACTTTGTCAACAGTCCGGAGCCAGATAGCCTAAATGCCAATGGTCATAGTTGTAAGATGTGAATTCTCATCAACCAGCAGCTTTGCAAGACTAAAATCAGACACGAAGCTCCCAGTTATCATCAAGGAGAAAGTTATGGATTTCTCAGAGAACTATTTTTCAGTATAAGATAGTCCTCGGGCAAACCCAAGCACATTTTTAGACAAGCACTCCAATTTGAGGCCTGGTCTTATTGGAAATGTTGATGCAAAAAACCATCTAAGCTTATCATAGCCAGGTAATCATACAGATAAGAAGCTTTGAGATGGAAGCCTGCAGTAGCCTCTCATATTTGCTAAATCTATATGCTTGATGCCACCTAAGATCCCTAGCTCTCTCTCCTTCAAACACCTGAGCAGATCCTTCATGATTCCAGTATATCCCTTTAATAGGAAATGTCACGCAATTATTCATGACCACATGGTAAACCACTACCAGAACCTTCTGTCCATACAACATCCTCAGCATTTTAGAGACCAGCTCCTTCAATTCCACATTATGGGTATGGCTGAAATCAATAAGCTTTGTGATTGCTTCTTACCCAATTTGCCTTATCACTTAGTGTATCTCCTAGTAGCTCTCTCCTTCCATGGCACCCAAATCCAGAGAAGTGCAGGGTGCACAACAGGTGGAAAGGCAAACGGCACTGGACAAACCAGCATCCTTGACTTAATGAGATGACCTCTTTGTACGGCTGCAGCATTATCACTTTCCAGCATAGGGGAGACCTACAGGGAAACCACAACGACATTCAACATGGCTTTTGAATTTTCCAGCCACAAAGATCTAACTTGCCAATGACAATTTGTTATCAGATTTGCTGAAGACTCCGATATCTGTAATAGATGAAAACAAATCAATGGACAAATTCAGATATTGCAACCATATAAGGTGGCCCATTGACAAAGGCATATCACAGAAAAAAAAAATTAATAATAACAGTAGTTGAAAAGTTCAGTGATTGTGATCGTGTAACGTGGCCAATTGACGAAAGCTTAGCACTTTTATATGAATTACAAAGGCAACACTGCCAACCACAGCATTATCAACATACCTAAGCATCCATACCTATTAAGTGAATTATTACT